CTCGTTCAATGCTCACTTCATTGCAACRTTTGGAAGAGTTGTCGAAGTGACTGTTTCTGTCGTTTAAGCTGWAACAAATCAATAAAACTCAATTCCCATAGTCACATTACCATTAGATCATATTTCAGCTCAGATGTATTTTACCGAATAAAACAAACCTTGTAACAGATTCTATAACATGAACACGAGCATCACTGGGACACAGTTAATCTCGTTATTTCAACATTACAACAATATAAAAACCATTTTTAAGACCATCACATGGACGTGGATTGACCTTGGGTTATTTTGACAGCACTTACATTTTAAATGAAAGGTTTCCGTTTGTTTTTTTGTTAAAAAAAAGGAAAATGTTGGCTGAATATACTACCATGCCTTGAGGCTAAAGTAATTTCCAAACCCTCAGCTCTACTTAACTCTTTAAGTGGACTACTCAATTTAATGTTTATGCTTTCAAACCCATCAGTTGACTCTTTTGGGACTATTATTTAATTTGTAATATTTAAAGATTCTTGGTGTTTTTGACTCGTTTTTCATGCGTTTAACAAATTCTTTAAAAGAACAATATTTTTTCTTGTGCTGTGATGAAATGTGAATATTAACATCTCAAAAAAAAGATACTTGAGAACATTCAATTTATTACCCTTAATCGTTAAAACATTTCATATGTACATTTAGTGAAAACTGCAGTCCTACGCTCTTGTATTCAAAGTGCTATTAACATATAGAACAAAAAAAAAATTGTACCAAAACAATCATATTGGAACAAAGTGTGACTTCAACAAGTGGAACGCTACAATAAACAAAAATCGAGCACAATCAGCTAGAACATTCGTTCATTTCAGTAACTACAAAAGTAGGTGGACTAATTTACACACAGTTAACCACAATTGAGTTCAACTCAATAAAACCAGGTTATAGATGTGATCGAATGCATCAAGAACTGTCTTACAGCCCCAGAATGCAGGCTAACAACAGTCAGATATTATGCTTGATTGTTTTATATGAATACAACATAAAATAGCCACTGTCAAATGTAAATTTAAGACAAAATGTGCTTGTACATGTCCAGCTCCTTGGGAATACTATAGTGTACCTCTAGACAGAAAAATCCACAAAAAGCTGCTTTGCTGCCTACATCTGACTGTCCATGAAAATTTGTTTTAATTAGTTATTTTGTGAAATGTCCCCTTTGAAAAATCTGGAAAACAAAAAGTGAACCTTTGCTTTTACAAGTGTCTGATGGCAGGAAGTGTTGAACTTAATTAGCAGGAGTCCACAGACGTTCATGAAAACTGAAGACTTTCCGTCGCTGTTTGGAAGGCAGGAAACAAAACCTGTTTTGGTTGTTTGTCACTGCGGTCAGCATCAGAAGGCACTTATTACATCGATTATTGGGTCATTATYGCAGGGGTCGTGTGTATATACAGTTAAATATCAGTCATGCATCAAAAAAAAATTAAGTTTAATAGACTTGCTGCCGTATTAGCTACGCTGCTAATTTTTTTTTTTTTTTTTGCTAGCACATATTGCTGCTAACAGAACAGGAATTAGTTACTTTTTGAAAAGAAGTTATTTTTTACATTTTGGCAGACACTTTTTTATTTTTATGTTTTTTGTTTTGTTTCTGAAAAAAGTAAAAATAAACCTGTTTGTAGAGTAATGAGCTAAAACTGAGCATTGTGACAAACGACAAAAAAGACAGCTAGCCTGTTTTTATAGCTAACAGTTTGGGCACAAACAACTTTAAAGATRAATTATTAACAAGTTAAATGTTTCTTGTTCAATCTATACATGATTTTGCTCTAAAAAAATGTACAAATGGTGAATTTTAGATGTTTTCTTTACAAAGTGTAAAACTGGCGGCCAACGACACTGCTGTTAAAACCAAATTGGTGGTGCTGGACTGAAAGGCAACCATGAGGACAAAGTATCAGTTCTACATGTTGAGGCCATCAGTTCAGTTTTAATTTTGATAGTTTTTTTTAAACAAAAATTTAAAATGTGGATCTGACTGAGCTCACACAGACATTAGCAACTTGCTATTATAAAATTGGCGCTGACACATTTTAGCTATGGGTCCTATGTGTTTTACTCTTTGTGGGACWGTACTGCTCAACCGCCATAACATTATGACCACTTGCCAACTTTTTTCCATCATAACRAACCAGTCAGAGTCACACTGATAGGTGTCCTGGATTTTGGCTCACTAATTTAATTTAATTTTTTTTATTTTTCGACCATCTATTGTTGGGTTGCCATCAGATCCCGTCACATGAATATTTGCAGGCCATGCACCTCAGAATGACAATGTACTCTCAGCAGAATGTTTGCTGTTCGCCTGTCAGTGGTCATAATCTTGTGGTTTACTGGTGCTTAAACTCGATTAAGAAAACATTTACGGAGATGAAACTTCAAAACAAAAAAAAAGTGTTCTGATGGACCCAAACACCATCTGGCTTGTTTTGACGTTATCAAAACAGAGGTCAAATTTAAGGCACTTGACAGTTGCTTCATTTTCCTAAACTGTAGCCTTCATCCATCTTTTATCAACACTGTGGTACACCCCCACTGGGATGAACTCTTCTATGAAATACAGTATCAGATGGTAAAATTGACACAAAAAACTTAGTAAAACAACTAAATGACAAGTATCCATCTACATGTTTGTTAATTTGATCCAAATGCCAAATTTCACTCCGTTCTGCACACCTCATCTCATCAGATCACTTTTTTTCTCCACCTTTTGCTAAAGAACATCATATTCGTTCCTTCTGATGGATATGCCAGGTAAAGCCGGGGAGCTATTAAAGTCAATTTAGTCTAGTGAAAGTTAATGCGAGCAGTTTAAAGCAGAGGATGTGAGAGGGTTGCCCTTTTATCATCTGCGACGTGGCGATACGCCCCTCTGTCCTCGGAGCACATTTCTGAATGACTTCTGCCTTTTCTTTGCCGCTTGTAGCCGATTAGGGGCTTTCGCTGATTCATCACTGCCATCGACGTCAAACCACTCCGGCGTAAGGCGATGATCGATTTCACATTCTTGGGAGAACGCAGGGGTGCAGTTCAGCGTGGGAGGATTATGTGTCAAAACTGGTGGAGGTTCTCTCGAAACCGGTCGCTGAGGCAGCACATTGTTGGACCGAGCATGATGTAATTTTATCAACTTTGGAACCGAAACCTCTTTTAAAAATTGAGACCATTAAGTTAGTTTTAAATTTTTCATTTTTTTTTAATCCAAGTGCTTTTTTTAAAGGGAAAGAATAAAGTAATGAAGACATAAAACACTTTAAATCACAATATTTTGGTGCAGTCGTTCCCTCTGCAGTCACACAAAACAGGTTGCAATCATCAGCCCCCCGGAGTCCTTTCCAAGGACCACCCAGTCTAGAGTCGTTGTTTAGAAGCCTCACCAAGAAACAATATGTTACATGTCAGTGTACAGACTTCTGAATCTACAGTAAATGGGAAAAGTGTCCACAGTTGCTCGAGCTGCTCACTGTCATTGAAGCGGTCTGAGGCTRCAACTTGATTCACAACCACTAGAGGGCGATGGTGCTTCTTCCTGCTGGTGGCTCTCCTCCTGCTCAGGCTCATCAGACAGAAAGCTGGGGAACGTCTGCGCTCGGGGGATGAAAGTCATCAGCAGCCTGGCTTCTGTTGGGGAAGAGAAACAGGATCAGCTTTTAAAAATAGTAAAATTAACAAGTTTTTTATTTATTTTTACTCTCAACAAAATAACATCACACTTAGAGTCCACATTAATGATGACTTTCAGCTACTACCACATCAAACTTAGCTTAAAATCTGCTAAAGATTATAGAGTTATAGTCACTTTTTGTRTTTGCTAAGGTTGACTAGCTGTGGCGACCATCTTGAATGGGGCTGACTCAGAAAGTTAATCATTTGTAGATGCACATTCAGTGATTACTTTCTTAAAGTTTCTTTCAAATCCACCCAGTGGCTCATGAGATGTTTTGCTAACAGACTCACACAAGGACATGAGCAAAAATATTATACATGGCATGCTTTGTTTAATCAGAATATTAACAGGTTTGTTATATATATGAAAAAAAGCATTAGATAACTTCATTAAAACATCTAAAACTGTTTTCTGTCATCTCCCTCTGCACCTTAATTGCAATGAATTGGACCAATTTGCTCTGCAGTTCATTTTGGTTAAACTCACTAAAAGGAAGTAATGGATAGTTGCGGGTGGAGGGCTGTTCCTGTGCAGCTGTGGGGCCATTAATAAWACATTAGGATGCTGTTTAGAGATGTGCACACAGCAGAGGTGGGTTGAGAATAAAGTGGCTGGCAGGCTGCTGATCGTGCACCAAACACGCAGGAAGTGGCCACTGATCAATATTTCAGGAGGTGCAAAACCAAACACAACACTGCGATCAAGTCTAACCTGCAGCACGCATGCAAGTCGCTAACTAATAAAGCRCGAAGCTGTTTGCGACGACTCTTCAAATCAATATGCGTACAGGGGTTACCTGAAATTTGATTCGCAAATTAGATTTGTATTGTTTTCCTGCTGATGCAAATGGCAAAATTGACGAAACGATCAGTTTTGCTGGTGCAAAAATGCAGAGCACAAGTTTGTATTTCAATTCTTGTTAGGGGCATTATATTGATTTCCATTCATTTCTGTAGCCTAACCCAGTACGTCTCCCCCGATGCCCCCACCCCAACTACAACTGTGATTATCAACTGGTGGCCCACGGGCCATTTCATGTATGTTGAATGAGGGCCTTTCTGGCTAGTGGGGGTGACATTATAAAACTGAAATTATAGGTTCAGGGTTAGTGAATTTTAACGTTTATTATTATTTTTACATTTCAGAACAAAATAAGRTGATATTCTTGTAAACAAGAAAAGCACCATAAATACATAGTTTCTTCCAAACATAATAAAAACTACAATTGAACTATGGAAGTACATTTTTTTCTAATTCTTTTCTTTTTCTTAAAAATCTTTAAATGTTACGCTGATGGATTTGAGCAAAAGATCATAATTTAAGGCTGGAAGTTGAATTATGAAGTGGCTAACAGGCTACTAGCATGATCTAATCAACATGTTTCACTCTTTGTATTAGTAGGGATTTGTTATTAATCTTTTAATTATCCAGGCCAAATCTATGCAGAAATTTTTAAAGAAAAATACAGATTTTGTCACCTTCATAACCGAGTTTGCATAATATATACAATCTATTTGCTTCTCTATTAATCAGAAGGCAAAGAAAGAAAGAAAAACTATAATGTTCACTTTTTGGAATTACTGATTTAACTTTGTCCTAATTGRTTCTTTTTTGTTGTTGACTTCAACTTCATTAGTATTGTCATTTTATTTAACCTCCTGAGAAACTGCGTCCTCATACGCGGACCTTGCATTTTTTTCCTCTCTACCCATGATGCATCATTTTTTTCCATTTTAACCCATTGTCCTCATTAATAGACACTACCAGCACCCTCTAGTGGTTCCATGACAATATTACACTCAGTTGAGTGAAAACAAATAGCGGGGATCCCAGTTACAGCTTCTACAACAACTCTGGTAAGAAAAATGGCCAAAGTAAAAATCCAAGTTACATTTCACACTTGAAACCAGCATATTTATGCACAGTTGCATATTTAGCTTTATAAGACATGCAAAAATAACATTTTTTTACAACTGAAGCAAAGTACAATGTCGGTAAAGATAAAGTCCTCATTTGAGGACATTGGGACCATAATTTTGTTATTAATTGTGCCATGAGGTAGGACAAACTTGCAAATATTTAGAACAGTTTACAAATGTAAATAGTGTAAGTGGTATATTTGGTCACAAATTTTTGTTAAACAAATCTGGAAATATTTAGAACAGTTCACAAGCGCAAATACTTCTTGCAAGTGATACATTAGTTCAACTAATTAATTATACCAGTGATGTTCAGGTGAAATGGTCTTCGATTTCCTGCAATTACGTCACATAATATGTTCTTCAAACTGAAGAGCAATCTGAAAGTTGTCGATGATGATGATGAGGCACTGATTTATTTTCATGTATAGATTCATTCACCTCGGCTGCATTATTGCTTTGTACCATGTTCTGATGTTCAATAAAGGTTTGTCAAAAAATAAAAAAGCTCTATATTTATCACATATTTGCAAACAAATTAACAGGAAAACTGCCTAAGCTAGCCTTTTCTGTTGTGACTATTTAAACAAAAACAACAACAAAAAAATGTTAGTTTTGGTCAAAGCTTCAAAGAGCCGCTGCAGATGGACCAAAGTCCTGCATGTGGCCCAAGAGCCGCAGGTTGCAAATCCCTGCCTTAACCCCTCAAAAATTACATTCCACTGTAAAGAATCAGGGTTAGGTCCCAATAAGAGCTACCAGTCCTGCCATGGTAGGTAATTAGACCTGAAAGGGTCCTGGAAAGAAAAAAAAAACAAGTACACACACAGTATCCACTGTGTGAGGAGCCAGGAGTCATGATGCCATTAAAGGGAAACGGGCTCAGACGCAACTCACCAGGACTTGGAATATAAAAGATGAGCCAGTTAGCCTGGCAATCAGTGTCAAGTGACTGGGTGAGTGCGAGTCAGAGCCACGGGGAGAGAAGTCTAGTTAAAAAAAAAAAAAAGAAAGGCAGCGCATGAAGGAAAATGATGTGCAAGTAATGAAAGAGACACTGAGAGGAGAAACAACGGATTTTCCTGTGTGAGTTAAGGGAACAGTTTGTGGGAGGAGGCGCAGAGGGGCCGGTGTGGGTGTGAGACCAAAACAGTATCTGTCATAACAGGTGAGTCATACATACACACCTCTGTCTTTTAGTCTTTCTTCTCCACCACTCCCTGAAACAAAGAAAAAAAAAGAAACATAAGCCTATATATCCCAGCGTTAAACGCGGCTCGCCTCACGGTATAGAAAGTTTCTGAGTGTCGAGGAGGTGAACGCTCCCCCCCCCCCCCTTTTCCTTCCAGTTGCATTTAATATGTTGCTGAGACGATTGGTGCGCAACCAGGCATATCCTTTTCACATCTTTGCCAAGACAATCCCTCTCCTCCACCAAAGCCAATTAAGGTTTAAAAAAAAATAACACGAGGCAGAAAGCCCAGAGAAGACAGAGAGGCCGACGAGTCACAAGCGCTGGGTTTGTGGTGCCAGATCCCACAGGAGTGCCACAGTTTTGGACAGGAGACATGAATGTGGACACACTTACATAAAACAATAATAATAATAAACCCAGAGGGAGAGAATGAAACAGAGAGAGAGAGAGAGAGAGAGAGAAGGAAGGGGAAAGGAGGATGATAGCGTCAGCATCCCTCCTCCTGTGCTCGCTCTGTGAGAAGCAGACAGTGATTTGTCAGTGCCTTTTCATTACCAGGGAAGGTCATGTCATCCTATCTGGCCTGGGGTGGCAGCTGCTGGGGCCAGAGCCGACAGGACACACACACACACACACACACAACACACACACACACACACGGGCAGAGAGAAACGGCGAGGACACAAGCAGCTATTCATGCATGCATGTTGACACACACCTGTCTGCACCTTGCTCCCTCAAAGTGTAACAACCCAGATGGCAGCCTGTAGCAGCAGCTGGGACCACAGAAACCAGGAGGCTGCACACGCACTGCAAAAAGCTCAGGACTGCACAAGACGGCCGCAGCTCTGCGCATTASAGATGCATCCGATGCAGGTTCGTTTTAACACTATTAGTTCCTGCTGTAATCATTTGCATCTGAACKGAGGTGAGGAATCGGGTTTTTCGGACCACGTCGGTTGCGTGGGTTTGCTCTCGCACCTGATGAATATCCAATCAGCACAGTCAATTTGCCGAGTCATGCTTGGGTTGCTTTCAAACACCCCGTGGGTCCGAGGGAATAATTAAGTTCCTTTTTTTTTCTTCTATATTTTCCAATTTGTTTATTTCCTTGCCTGAGTTAGCAGAGGTCCAGACGATGTAAATCTGCTTTATTTTAGTGGATTTCAAAACTTTTTTCAGCAATTCTGTTTACAACAAATAAAAATAAAAAAATTATGACAATTGGCATCTAAAATTTTTTTAAAATGCCGTGATGTTGGGAAAAATCCTCCCTCAAAGGAATGTTTTTCATCTGCAGAAAGTGCAGTAAAAACTCTAAGACAACACACCTCCTCTCTGCCGTTTCCCACCTTCTTAATGTTATTCATTCTTTTGCATTTCAGTGAGGCTGCTGGCTGCTTCGAGTTTGCTGATGCATAGAAATAAGTGCACTTTAAAGTTTTGGAGTTGGAAAAAGCAAGGCCCCATGCCTGTCAGAGATGGTTCAATTATGTGCTTCTAACTTGGAAAGAAGGGTGAAAAAAAAGGGGACAAGTATATCTTTTTTTCCTCCTTTCGTTTACACCATTTGCAGGCAATCCCTCGTTCTCCTCCTCGCTCTGTGTTTTATTGTGCTCCACAGATTACTGCTGTAGCATTAGCAATTCTAATGAAATGGAGCGCTGTACTTATTTTGATCCACTGGGAGTGATACTAAAGGGATTTTGCCAAGAGGTAGTGAGTATCAAAGGCAATAGAGGAGCTGAAGGAGGAACAGGATGATGACACTTTCTTACCTTTAACAGGCAGGATGAATCAGTGGAGATGCAAAAAGAAAGAAAAATCACTGAAGTCAGGTAGAATCAAGCTTTTTTTTAAATTTCAAGTGGTCAATCAAGGCATTTTTATTGCTCACTTGTTTAAAGAATAAATAAAAAAGAATGCATTTACAAAACTCAAATGTGTATTTGACTCACAATGCAACATAATAAACATCCACTGTTTAAATTCAGAAATTGTATATACAGTATATGTATATATATACAGTATATACACTCACCGGCCACTTTATTAGGTACACCTGTCCAACTGCTCGTTAACACTTAATTTCTAATCAGCCAATCACATTTCTCTTTTTTGTATCGAAAAAATATCGAACCGTGAGACTAAAGTATCGAACTGAACCGAACCATGAACTTTCTGTATCATTGCACCCCTAATATATACTGTGTGTGTGTGTGTGTGTGTGTGTGTGTGTGTGTGTGTGTGT